TACTGACTGAACGTCAGTCGCAATGTGAATTGGACTTGGAAGTTTACAGTTCTACAATTCCAGTTCAGTGTTGCGTTTCAATACAACGTTCAAGGTATTACAGAGTTCACTATTATTACTATTCTTCAATTCTTCAAACTCAAGTTCATCTGTGTATACTGTACAACTGTAATAAATATTATAGAACAGTTCAACAAGTGGTTGTCTCTTCATATAGTGACATCCCACACCCGTTAACATTGGTGAGGGAATTTGGTTTCAGCATGATGATGCATCTTGCCACTCTTTGTGCCAAGTGCATAATCAGGTGAACAACCATCTTCCAGGCACATAGATCATTCTTGGTATCCAGTTGTCTGGGGCCATTCTCCTGATCTGAACCTACTTGATTTTCTCTTACGGAAGTGCATCAGAGAAAACAGTCACACTGCAGGAAGCACAAGGTCACAATGGCCTGATATTTGCCTCCCAGTAGCTGTGACAAACAGGCAGGTGTCAACATAGAAACTGGTTTGTGCCGGGGACTCCCTTTTAATAATCTTAGGAGGTGGCTAAACATAACTCTACAAGAGTGATGAATTGAACAGCAATTGATTTACATATTCTCCAAATTACCCGCAACCTCCCAAAATTTTGTCATAGGTCTTTGAATCACATATTGTGACATGTTGCGCAACGAAGGACCCCTACGTCCCCAGCGGCCCGTGGCGGTAACGTAGCGCTCGCGTAATAGGCGAGTCATCACCCCGCCACTCCCCGCGGTGACGTCACGAGCGGAGCCGAAGTTAGCCGAGCCCCCGCAACCTGGTAGCTATGCAACGCGAGTCAACAGCGGTGACGTAACAGGATGACGCGCCACTCATTACGCAGCAGGCAAGCACTGCGGCTATATAAGTGAACTGCACAGCAGCTACTAGTCAGTTGTAACGGAACAGTCGCCGAGTCGAGTTGTAATGTGACAGCCGCCGAGTTAAGTAGTAGTCGAGTGAGTGTGTTATCAACAGTTCTCCAGTCAGCCGACTACAGTTGGAGTATAGCACCCGTCGCGGAAAGAAGAACCAGACATGTGTGTGATTGTGTAATTGGGAGTGTGTGATACAGTGATACATAGCTCCCCTACTGTAAACGTGTAGACTACTGAAGGCAAAGTGAACTGATTTGCGCATAGGGTTATAAATCGTGAAACCCCGCAACAGTGGTAACAGATTAATGCGATTAGGGTTATAAAGTGTGAAACCCCGCAACTGTAATAATTAATTGTAGCCGTTACTTGTAGGTTGTTGAATAAACCAATTAACAATCTCTACGGCGTCTTCAGTACCCAGCAACACGTCACAATATCATATGTTCGGCTACACCAAATAAATGTCGTGAAAGCATATGGAAGACAGTATCTTCAGTTGTGCTGTATTTGTTTAGCGTGTAACATTGTTTAATGCAACAGTTCATGGAAAATACTTTCAGTGTGTCCTGCAATGTTTCATTGAAACTTGCTATGAAATTGTAAATAATAACTCTTATGTGTATGATATTTTCGCTCTGTATTTGTGGGAGAAGCCACATTGGGTAGTAAGCATCAGTTGCATGAAAGTGTCTTACAGCAGAGGCTGCAGCGTGCATGTAAAATTCATACACATTGTCATATGGGTAATTATTTTGGAGTGCAAGTCTGCTGCAGAAAATTAAATTTGTTTTGCAGGTTATGATTCCGTTACTTGTAGGGGCCATTTGCCAGTTGCAGCTTGTACTCACGTTTATTTGTTAAAAACACGCAGTAGTGACATGGTAGAAAATGTTGACTGATGTTTGATGAGAAACAAAATAAAATGTTTGGTTGATATTGTCATGTTATGTCATATTTATGTGGTTGCATCATTTTGAAGTTCATGGATTTTACGTTTTCTGTCACAGTGTTTTTGGAGGAGTACAAAAATAGTGTGAGAGAATTGTTAAAAGTGTTTCACTATGTATATGTAATAAAAGCAATAGAGGATGATATGCTGGTCTAGAAACCCGAAATTAATGGCTGTGGAGATTCGTTGTGCTCACTGGGCAACACCCTCTGTCCACTAAAGTTGCCACTAACTTCAGCGACAAGCGGCCTCCGTAGTCTAGAGGTAACGTTCCCACCTCATTACTCGCAGTACGCGGGTTCAAATACCTGGCAGAGGTCGTCGAATTTTTAAGGGCAGAAAAATTCAGGGAACAAGTCCTCCAGGAGGGACTTTAAGCCGTGGGTCCCTTGTCGTAGCTTTACGGCACGTAAAAGAACCTCATATCTCCAAAGGAGGTCACTGAGCCAAATTAACGAATGTTTCCCGCCCAACAGCAGTCTCTAATACCTCTGGTAGATGGGGGAAGCATTATAGATACCTTTCAGCTAGTAGAGCCGGTCTCGCTGGCTGGGCGGGACTGATGGCAAGCACCAGTACCGGTAAGATATAGAGACTGGTAGAAATCATAGAGGGAAGCACAATGGACCAATACAGGTCTCAGTGCATGGGGAAACCCACCCTTTCCAATAACTAACTAACTTCAGCGACAAGTGGTCATCACTTGGTCAGTATAGTTCACTTGCGGACTCAAGCAGCGGAGAGGATGATATTGAATTGAATTGAATTTATTTACATTCTATAAATCCTAAGCAGGTTAGTACCTTTGGATACAGAACAAGTCAAAAGGTTACATACATAAGTACAGGCAATTTTAGCTTAAAAATTAATATAACTTAATTTTACATCATTCTCTATTTACATTGAAGTATTCATCTAAAGAGTAGAAGGAATGAGCATGTAGATAATTCTTTAACTCTGATTTAAACTTTTTAGTATCATTGCCCAAGTTTTTAATACTTTGTGGCAGATTGTTGAACACTTTTATGCCAGTAAAGTAGACTCCTTTTTGATATACTGATAAAGTTGATGAGGGTAGGTGGAAGTTATATTTTTGTCTAGTATTCATGTTATAGACATCAGAATTTAATTTGAATTTATCTTTGTTGTAAACAACAAATAAGAGAAGCGATAATATGTATTGCGATTGAAGAGGTAGAATTTTTAATTTCTTAAATAATTCTCTACATGAATCTCTACTTCTACATCCTGTAATGATTCTAATTATATTCTTTTGTATTTTAAAAATTATTACACTATGTGAAGAGTTCCCCCAAAATATTAATCCATAGTTCATAATAGAATGAAAGTAGGCATGGTAAACCATCTTCAATGTTTCCTGTGACATAAAAGGCTTAATTGATCTCATCGCATAGCAAGCTGCATTTAATTTAGGTATAATTTGTTCAATATGTATTTTCCAAGACAGTGTACTGTCTACATGTATTCCAAGGAATTTTGTATCAAGTACTTTACAGATTAATTTGTTGGCATAACTGATGTCCAGATCAATTTGGTGGTTGTTTTTAGTTGTGAATGATATGTAATGGGTTTTATCAAAATTTAATGAGAGTAAATTGGCTTCGAACCATCTGTTTAAGGCTTCAAATACAATATTTATGTCATTTTTAAAGTTTTCAAATTTAGAGTTCTTAAATATTATACTAGTGTCATCTGCATATAGAATTGGTTTAGATTTATTGTTGATGGTTTTAGATAGATCATTTATGTAGAGAAGAAAAAGTAAGGGACCTAAAATTGATCCTTGTGGAACACCGTGCTTTATAATTCCCCAGTTTGAAAATGCATTATGACTGGAGTTTTTATTATTTATTTCAACTCTTTGATACCTGTTTTTGAGGTATGATTTGATCCATTCATTAGCTTTGCCAGTTATTCCATAGAAATTTAATTTCGATAGTAAGATATCATGATTAACACAATCGAAAGCTTTTGCTAGATCACAGAAAATCCCTCCCACAATTAATCTGTCATTGAGAGCACTTAAAATATCGTTAGTTAGTTCATAGGTTGCTTTTTCTGTTGTTAGGTCTTTCCTAAATCCAAATTGCTCTTTGACTAATATGTTGTTAGAATTTAAGTGTTCAAGTAGTCTATTATACATAACTTTTTCAAAGACTTTTGAGAATGAAGTCAATATGGATATTGGTCTGTAATTAGAGATGCATTTTCTCTCTCCTTTTTTAAAAAGTGGTTTCATTACAGCGTATTTTAAGCGTTGAGGAAAAGTACCTGATGATAAAGATTTATTACATAGATGATTCAAGGGTGAACTGATGTAAACAGAGCTTGCTTTAAGTAATTTGGTAGAGATTTCATCATATCCATGTGAATTTTTGGGCTTAAGGGATTTAATAATGTTTTCAATTTCCTTCCTTGTTGAGAATTTGAGATTGATATTTGGAAATGAATTGTTAAAGGCACGAGACAGATAGTATATTGGATTATTATTATTATTATTATTATTATTATTATTATTATTGGAATATGTTTTCTCAGCTAATGAAAGGAAATATTCATTAAATGCACTTGCGATAGCTTGTGGATTGTTAGTGGACTTCCCTTCAATATTCAAACTTTGTACGTCTTCATTAACAGATTTCTTTCCTGATTCAACTTTCACAATATCCCAGGTGGTTTTAATTTTATTGTTTGATTTTAGAATTTGGCTGTTATAGTTATTCTGTTTGGCTTCTTTAATGACTTTTGACAAAATTTTACAGTACATTTTGTAGTGACTTTTTAGTCTTGGATCATTACTGTCCCTACTGGCCAAATATAGTTGTCTTTTGTGTTTACATGAAGTTTTTATTCCAATTGTTATCCAGGTGGATTTGTTTTTATTTTCATTTTTGACTATTTTTAAGGGAAAGGTTGAATAAAAGATCCTCAAGTATGTGTTCAGAAAGCAATTAAATTTAGAATCAATATTATTGCTGTCAAATACATTGTCCCATGATTCATTACTTAATTTTGTGACAAAATCTGCCATCGTATGCTTGTTGATTTTCCTTACTGTTTGATATTGTTGATTACTGGGCTGAAGGTGGCTTTGTTGTAACATTAAATGTCGTTTTATTGTTTCAGCCAGTTATTGTATGAGTCAAAAAACAGAAAAGCCAGTACTGTCAGGTCAGCGCATAAAGACCAGAAAAAGAGGTGAGTTAATGATATTTTTATTGGATGTATATAAGCAATATATATTGTTCTTGCACTGTGCAATCATTATAGAACTTCCTCCAAGTTGAACTGCTCAGACAGTGGCCCCCCACACTGCATCCTTCAGTGATCTATTGTGCTTCCCCTTGGATTAGCCCCTTATTAATCCTACACTTTTAAGAAAGTGTAGGACCCAGCTTATGGGGAAGTCACAAAAGTCACTTGGTTGCATAAAAAACTGACCCAAGTGACGGAATCTTAAATAAGCTATGGCCTCACAATCACACAGGATGTGTGTGGCTGATTCGTTTTCTTGTAGGCACCTTTCACAAGTTGGGTTATCTGTCAATCCCAACTTGAATAGGTGTCCTTTTAGGTGGCAGTGTCCAGTAAGTAATCCTACCACCCGTCTTAGGTGGTCTCTGTTTAAGCTCAACAGATCCTTTGTTCTTCTGGCAGAGGGTCCTGATATAAAACCCTTTGCCTCTTTGAGTCCAATTATGGATTCCCAGTATTGTTTTATGATTTCTATCAGTCCAGTCCCTGATCGCTTTTTTTTGGCAGCTCCAATTGAGATGCTGCAAACTGGTTCAGGTAAGTGATTTTGTGTGTACCAAGTGCTTTAATTGCATCTTGACTGACTGATAGGATATAGATGTTCCTATTTCTATAGTTCCTATCTAAATTCTCAACTGCGCATGCCTTAATGGCATACACCTCTGCCTGGAATACTGTTGTGTACTGACCAAGGCTGAAAGTATACTTCTGCCTCGTTCCATCACAATACACCGCAGCTCCAGTGCCTTTATTTGTCTTGGAACCATCTGTATACCAGATTAGTCCCCACTTTCTATCAGTTTGAAACCCCTCTTTCCATTCAATTCTATGAGGAAATCTGATCACGAAGGGTCTATCATAAACATGTTTTGGTAGCATTTTATCAGATCCCATCCGTAGGATGTGTTCTTCTTTCATGTCCCAAGTCATGTATGCTTGTCCAGAACCTTTGGATTTAGGTCTCCATTGATCATTGCAACGTAATCTGTAATTTCCTAACTTGGCCTCTGCTTCCATCTGCAAATGCAGTGGAGGGAGTCCTAGTAGGATTTCCATTGCAGCAGTTGGAGCTGTCCTCATTGCTCCCGTAATTCCCAAGCAGGATGTCCTTTGCAGTTTGCTAAGTTCTGCCTGACCTGTTTTGAGTTTATGGCTGATTATGGGTCTTACCACTGCAGTGTATATCCAATATACCACCCTTGGTCTCCGTCCCCAAGTCTTCCCAAATGTGCCTCTGCATGTCCAGAAGGCCTAATAGGTCGTATTAACACATTAAGGATGGTCACATGATATAATGCTTTTCACTTTTAAACATGGCAGATCCGTCACATGATATGATTTTAGGACACGTTAGGTTGCAAGGTTGTAAGCTAGCTTATGTGCCTTGTGAGACGCGTAGTGATGGTGACTCAGACAGTGGCAGTGACAGGGGCAACAAAGAATTGTGGCCACAGACAGTAAAAGTGACAGTAGCTCTGACAAAAATGCAGTTAGCAACATTGCGGGGACAGCAAAAAATCACAAAAATCTAAACTCTGATTCAAAATTGAAATACAAAGTATTTCTGATGAATGTGGAAAAGGCTTGGGCTACAGAGCAGATGGTGGCGGCAGAACCAGAGTCAGACACAGACTTAGTGTGACTGGGCCCATCAACTCCCACCATATGCAGGCCTCATGTGGACCCCCCAGGGCGACTCTCGGGCGATATGCGGAAACATATCCTCGTGAAAATTGTGAAGAGTGAACATTCGAAGGGGAAGCATCCTTCTAGGCAATGCCGTGTTTGCACAGTTCACAAAAAAAGGAGTATGACTCTCTACATTGCAAGTTTTGTATAATGCCACTTCACAAAAGGAATGTTTCCAGAAATATCATACTCTTAAGCACCTCTAGGAGCATTGGTAAGTGTTCTCCAAAAATTTTAGTTCATAAAATTAATTAGATTTTATTTTAATCTGAAATTGAACAGTGCACAAGTTAGGATAGTAGGTTTAATAATGCCGGTCCCCAGGGTAATTTAAATATTTAAATTTCTGGTGCGCCAAGTGTTAATAGCCTTATCTAGCTGTTTTTTTTTCATGTCAGCCCCTTGTCTAATGTTAATCCAAGGTACAGTCAACTCTCGATTATCCGGGCTAATGGTGGGGATGGAAGTCACGGTTAATCGAAAACCCGGTTAAGCCAAATTTTATTATACGGGCTGGACGACTGTGAAGGGTCGGAGTTCGAGTCCCGGTAGGGTCAAGAATTTTAACTTCTCCAAATCGTCCAGACCGGCTCTGGGGTCCATCCAACCTCCTATCCAATGGGTACCGGGGGCTCTTTCCCCGGGGGTAAAGCGGCCGGGGCGTGAAGCTGACCACTCACCTCCAACTAGTGCCGAGGTCAAGAAAATTTGGATCTATACATCCACTCCCCCACACGCCTTAATGGCGTAGGGCTTAATTCGTTGAGCAGAGGAACAACTTTACCTTTTACCTTTTAATACCTTCATAATACTATAGACCTACCTGTATTTAAATTTATTCATCCTCATTTCTATGTCATCTCATGGCCTATTTAATACTTTCTTTACATTACACTCAGTATGAATTAGTTATTTCAATCACTGTTCAACAACATCCAGCACTTTTTACGGTCACACTTAACACTTAAAATAATTTAATACTGTCTTTTGCTTTTTCGCGGCATTTTCCTTTTTACGGATATCCGTACGAAGCCTACGTAATATTAGCTTGTCACTTAATAAACTGTCCTCTTCACTCTCAAGATAGTCTAGTAAGGATTCCAAATGATTAAGCGCAGCACCATGTGATACTTTCTTACTGGCAACACTGTCCACCTCTTCCTCATTCTCACTTTCTTCCCGCTCTTCTGGCTGCACCCCCATTGAAGTTACGATTTCGTCACTGCTTAACATTTCGAAGCCCGGTTCACACGAGTCACAGTTAAACCACTCTCTTATATTTTCCTCGTTGACTTCTTCACCACCATGAACTTGGTTAGCCACTTTTGTCAATTTTATGGCTATCTCATTTTCACTGAATCCAGTGAATCCATGGATTTCGTCATCTTCATTAGTGATGAAAGGCATCAGTTTCTTCCATGAATTTTTCAATACAGATGGCTTTACTGTATCCCACGCTGTTGAAATCTCGTATATGGCATCTAATACTGAAAAGGACTTCCAGAAACACGTCAGATCATTGCCTTCATCGATGTACTTTTGTAGCAAATTTGATCTGTAGATTCTCTTCATACTTGAGATAACTCCTTGATCCATTGGTTGGATAAGTGCGGTAACATTAGCGGGAAAATATTTCACAAAAATATTTCCATCATCTGACCTCAGGAGACTTTCGTTAGGATGTGAGGGCGCATTGTCAATGAGGAGCACAGCTTTCTCAGGTAGGCCTTGGGATTTTAGATGGTCACGAACTTGAGGCACGAATTTAAAATCAAACCATTCTTTAAATATCGCTCTATTCATCCAAGCTACTTTCTGGTTAAAATAATGGATAGGCAGACTTGAAGCTACTGTTCCTTTAAAAGAGCGTGGTCTTTTCGCTTTGCCGATAACTACTGGTATTAGTTTGTGTGTTCCTGATGCATTAGAACAGCACAAGACTGTCAATCTCTCCTTACTGGATTTGTGACCTGGAGCCTGTCTTTCATTTTGAAATGCCAATGTTCTGGTTGGCAAGCATTTCCAATAAAGACCCGTTTCATCGGCATTATAGATTTGTTCTGGCAGCAGATTTTCACTTTTCACAAAACTATCAAAATTGGTGCAAAATTGATCTGATGCTGACAAGTCCCCTGACAATTTCTCACCTTGAATACTGATTTCTCGTATTCCATGACGCTGCTTGAAACGTGTTAGCCAACCGGAAGAAGCGTCAAAACTCCCTTCTAGTTCAAGTGCTTCGAAAAAATATTTAGCTTGTTTAGCACAAACTGGTCCTGTTATTGTTGTTCCCTGTGCCCTTAGTTGATTAAACCAGGTCAGCATCGCTTTGTCGAGATCATCGTATGTTGATTTCTTCATGGTTTTTCTCTTCTTCATTCCGCTTGAATTAGAAGACGAAGCAAAGGAAATTAACTCATTCTTTTGTTTTTTCAAATCACGAACAGTTTGTTCTCCAATACCGTATTGCATTGCTAATTGTTTAACTACAGCTCCTTTTTCCAGCTGATTGATAATTTCAAGTTTCTGTTGAATACTTAACACAACACGCTTCCTTTTAAACCCCGACATTTTGCTAACGCACTTGAAGATCTATATTAAGAAACTGATACTTACTTTCACAATGCACTCTCACACTGAGATGGTACCGTTAAATAACCTGGGGCGGTGTATTTGTCCTTGAAACTTTCCAAAAATTCTTGCATTCTTTCACCCCCACCCTAGAACATTGTGTTCGCATAACGGGACGAAATAATGCAGAGCTCGGTTCACACTAGTGCGAAAATAGTGTTAAACTCACCATGTGAAACAAAAGTGAATGAATATTAAACAACATATAAACTTAAAAAAAAAAAAGCCCCGGTTAAGCCGCGAACCGGTTAATCCGCCCCCGGATAATCGAGAGTTGACTGTACTTGACTTCACTGGATAGCCGGATCACTTTACTGAAGAGTATAGGTTCTTTGAGCCCCTTCATATTCCTCTTCCTAGTAAAGGGTACAATCACAGTCTTGTTTAAGTCCATGATTTATTTCAACCGTCTTCCAGTGCATACACTCATCTATCTCCTCCTCTCACTCGCACTACATGTTTCGGCACAAAAATGCCATCTTCAGGTGCTTATTCGATTTACGCTAAACTAGTTCATTGCATGCCTTGTCGTC